CCTCTGTAAGAGCCCACAAGAAGAGAAATACAGACCATGACTGTAAGTGCCAATCTCAAACTCCCACTGACAAAAATATCTTTCCAAAGGAGGTCACCACCTGTGAAGCCAGCATCTAGCTTAGCATACAGTAGTTGCAAGTAGTGGCTCTGGACCTTTAAATCCTTCTTTCCCCAAAGGTGAATTTCACACTTGTGAAAAATGTCACTGCTGGACAGAGACATGCTCTTCTATCCCCACAAAAACACACAACAAGGCAACACAGAATGATCCATCTACACCTCGCCCACCTCGACTGACAGCTGGGACAACTGTGGCAGGGACAGCCCAAGGCTTAATACGCCACAGATAGCACGTGGCAATGACTTACAGCTGAGAAGGAGAAGCTGAATTTGTGACCTGGAGATGAAAGGTTCAGATGCTGTGAATTATTTATTATTTTTCATCCTCTTCCTTCATATATAATATGTTTTGCTAATGAACTGCAAGTCTCAGGGCATGTAGTTACTAATATGATATATATTCACATGGATTTGTCATCAAAATTTACGGTAATCTACAACAACATACGTTCTCATCCAGTGTAAACCGGTGATATATGCCAGCAGGAAGGGTTATCATGTCTCCTTTTTCCATGGAAATCCGAATCCATTTGTCATCCTTGTCTCGAACATCAAAATAGCCAGATCCCTCCAAGATGTAGCGAATTTCATCATCGAGGTGCAAATGTTCTTCATAAAATGTTTTTATCTAGGAATAGCAAATATTTTGGAAAACTACTGAACATAGGAAAGCTGCAAAGAAAACTGGCAGAAACACAGCGAAGCTGAGAAAGGCTTTCAAAGGGTAACTGTGTTTTAACTAACGGAGGAGACCAACATGGGTAAGATGGCCAAGCCAGCCAGCCAGCCCCTGTCTCCCGACACATCTAAGCAGGCTTCAACATTTCCTTTGGAAAGCAGGAACTCCTCTGACAAGAAACAGCAGCTCTAGCTGTACATAACCATTCTCTGAATAACAGTGATGCTCACACTCATTTGAAAGAGAGATGGGTAAAACTTCCCACTACAGGATTTGGTCCTTGTGCTTGCTCAGTTAGATCCCATTCTGTGCTTTTCTCCTCCCAACACACAGCACCAAAACAAAGCCACAGATTATCCCCTCTCTTACACATATGCAGAGCTGAATTAGCTGCACAGGGTACTACTACTGTCAGTGAAAATGCAGTTTCTGCCAAACACGGCCCATCTACAGCAATCTGATGTTAACAGTGTGTCATGCCTGCCCACACACAGTGAGACCTAGCTCCAGGCTCTCTTGTCCAAGACAGTGGCAGCAACATTCTCTTTTTTATGGAATGCTGAATTCTTTGTACATGCACAGAATACATAACACATTTTAAAAGTTGAATTAACGGAGACCTGAGAGGTTTAGTGCACAGTGAGCAGTGCAATGCCAGGTACCATCACCACCTGCTCAGGCCTGGATGATATTTAGCTACACTCCTGCAGATGTCCTTGAGCCAGAAGTGATCCAGCACAGCAGGATGAGCAGAAGTCTTGTAAAGTACGGCCCATCTTTCTGTCAGATAGAGCCTACCCAGGCCATCTACCTAATGAGTTACTACCTAATTCACCTTCTTACCAAAACAAAACCACTAGAATACAGTGGGCTTAAAACAAACCGGTAAATGGAAATTTAATAAAAATATGAACGTGTCATTGGTTTGCTGTCCTCAAGTCAGAGCAGCAAGCCAGCAGCACCTGGAGGCTGGGATGAGAAAGCTCCTTCTAGGAGGCTCATCTGAACAATGCTGAGCTGCAATGAAATCGTCAAGGTACGAGTGCCCCAAGGTAAAAAAATCTTGTACAAAGAACATATCCCTCCAATTCCATGGGGTTAACACTCACTTAAAAAAGACACATTATGCAAGCAGCCATTAGGATGTAAAAGCCTTCAAAGCCCAGGCCCAGCTGGCAGCCACTTGCCTTCATCCCAGACAGGCTCTCTGAGGACAGGTCAGCATTGGAGGAACTCTCCTGGTAGGAATCTTAGTTTTGAAATGACAGTGATGGAAATGATCCTCAAAACCTTTGAAGGCAATCTACAGAAGCAAAAGATCTCTACTATCTTTAAAATGATATCAAAGGTTCTTTTTAAAGGTTCAGGACTTGGGTACAGGATGTATTTTAGACGTGGAAGCCTCATCCCCGTGTCCCGCTGGGCTGTGCAGGTGTCACACGCTGGCCGGCGCGGAAACCCGCACTGAAAGCGAAGTTTCGCGTACCTTTTCCTCATAATTTGGAAGCTTGTCTTTGTGTATAGTCACTATATCCATCCACGAATAATTTTCTGCTCTCCGAATCTCTTTCAAGCATGGATCAGTCTCATAGTTATCAGCATCCAACTAAAAAAATAGAGAAGGGGAAAAAAAAAAAACAAAACACAATCGGACGCCATTGCTAAAGGCGGAACTCAGGGCACTCACGGGAATCCCGAGGTGCCGACACTGCCGGGGCGGGTCGGCTGCGGCAGGGGGAGCTGCCACAAGGACACGGGGCGCCTGCACCCGGCCCCCGCCCCAGCTGCCTTCGCTCTGCGCCCGGCCCGGCCCCGCCGTACCCTGCGGTACAGAACGCCGTACCAGCCCCGCCGTACCCTGCGGTACACCACGCCGAGGCGGCGCAGCTCCTCCAGGCTGACGGCGCGGTTGGGCCGCTGCCGGTGCGGCGCCCGCTGGTCCTCCTGGGACTCGTCCATGTACCAGGCCTCCACCATCCCGCCGCCAGTGTCCGCGGGGCCGGGCTGCCAGCGCGTCCCGCCCCGCCGGGGCTCCAGGGCCCGGCGGCGAGCGGGACGGGCCCGCCCCGCGGCCTGGGGCACTGCGTTACCGGGGCGCCATGGGCCGCCCCAAACACGCTGAACAGGCTGCGGTGCGGAGCTTTCCTTTGAGGGAACAGCTCCAGGCTGAGAGCCGAAAGTCCCCCAGAGACAGGCCGGGGCTCGGGGCTTCTCACCCGCACCAGCCCCCCGGGGTAAGCCGGGTGAACGGCCACGGCATTTGCATTGTGTCGGTCCTCGCTGTAATGCTCTGACAGAACTTACTGGTATGGCTCAGGCTTAAAGGCCGGCATTGCAACCGCACAATGTGGAAAAATAAAAAATAAATTAGGAGAAAAATAAAGTAGTAAGATATGCTTGCACAGATAACATCCTCAGCGTCCTCCCTGAGCAGGAATGAAAAGACACACGGGGGTGTCCCCTTCAGCCTCCACACTTCTGCATCTACCTGATCCTATATGACAAATAAATCAAGAGCCAGCTAAGTACAATATATTATGTCCAGACAACTGAAACAATCTCTCCTTAGAATTTTTCTTCATAGTTTACTTACCAAGGTCTCTCAACCACTACTACTGCAATTCTCATAAAAAGGTACCAGATCCTTTTAATGTATAGTATTTATGTTTAAGCACTACTGGTTATGAAACATACTCTACAGAAGCTGTGCTAAGGCACATGGAGGACAAGTAGATGTTTTGGGACAGCCAGCACTGAATATAGTGGCTGCTAAATGCCAGTATTCTCCTAAAGTTGCAGTTCTGTGAGAGGATTACTCCAACATCCACCATCCTCTGCAGGCCCTCGAGCCCCTGTTAAGTCCTTTTGAGAAGTACTATTTGTTTTCCATCCATTAATCAGCCTTAATCTTGTAACCTCCCTCTCGGCTTTCTTCTGTCCTGAATTTCCAGAATAAGAATAAACAGTCATATGAAATTGATGTAAAACTCTGTCCTGTTAGATTTTCTACTATAATCTACCTATTAGAGTCAGGTAATCAAGTATTAAATTCAGTATTACAGAGTTATGATTTACCCACCACAATCTTACAGGTTTTTCAAAGCTCCTGCTGCCAAAAAAAAATTGATTTCCATACAGTAAAGAGGACTTACTTGTTTAGCATAATATGTAAGATAGGCAAGTTACTAGAAATCTGATCAGGGTGATGGTTGTTTTCTTTGCAGCCAAACTTCTAAAGTAAACAGATGATTGTGTGCATATATACAAAGAAGCAGAGGGGGCCCAACCAGTGCCCTTTTCTAGCCCTAGATGAGCTTTAATGTGCAGTTTTGGATGAGAGAAAAAAATAAAAATCCTCACTGACCTGTTAACTACTAGATATCCCGTTTCCTCCTCCTCCTACAACCATGTGACTAAATTTGTAAAACCTCACACTTTGCCTCAGGAAAGATATTATAATGCATGAGAACTATTAAGTAACAAACTTCTGCAGCTCTAACCATCTATCTAGAAATTAACAAATCCAAAACCATTTCAGTGACTCGTAGCTTAAACCCTGCTATTCAGTGGTATAAAGGTACCATATTTAACCCAACAAACCTGTTTGCTTTTCCTGTATGCTTGCATAGAACATAAACCTGTGTTGATTACTGATAATTACTCTCCAATTCAAGTGCACATTAGCCATTCCATTAATCTCATAATTGACTGGAAAAAAAATGAAGTCAAACACTTGAGATCTGGAAGGTATGGAGAAGCTTATCTTCTAGTCCCATTTCAGATGAAATGTTAATTACTACCTTTGGGACAATACTCAAGAGGAACTAACAATGCTAACAAGAACCAGTATGCATAAAAAAAACCTACTTAATGGAAATAGAAAGCCAGAGATTAAGAGCTTGGACATGAATCACATAGAGAGAACAGTAAAAATTCATTATTTTCTTGTGACCGGACTTTTAGTCTGTTCATGCTACCCTGCAAAATAACACGATAAAAGAAAGCTGCTGGTGCTGTAGCTGACACTGTGAGGCACACACAGGTCAGTGTTACAAGCCCATCAGTGGAGCAGTTATTGACAGTACCAGAATGTCAGAGCGGAGCGATGGACAGCTGTGTTAGGTGACCTCCTACCAAATCAACCAACCCCAAAGTCTGCCCCAGCTGTTTTGGGCTGCAATAAATACCTCTGCACCAAAAAAAAAAAAAAAAAAAAAAAGACATTTATTTCATTAAGAGGAAAATACAGAACACTTTGATTTAAAATTACTTCTTCAGAAGCCTGTCTTTAAGGTGAGTTCGTAAGTACACAACACAGCTAAAAGCACTGACCACAGCCCTTCCAATAGATGGAGAAAAAACAAATATCAGTATCATCAACTAAATATTGTCTTAACTGTAAAACAAATGCAACAGAAGAAAATTTGGGGTTTTCCTTCCCAGAAGTTCGTTTATATTTAGGGCTTCAGGCCAGAAAGAAGTACAGCTCAAAGTTCAACTCCGAAACAATTACAGCAGTTCAAATTGTTGCTGTCATGTTAGGCCCTTTCTTCCCAATGCAACAGTCTCTAGTCCCAAGCCATCAGCACTTTGGTTTACAAGCTCCTTCTCTTGCTAGTCTGTCAGCTTCTTCATTTCCTTGGAAGCCAGCATGACCAGGAATGTGCATCTGTCAGGACAAAATATAGCAGTGTTAGATATGGAAGAAACCAGGAAAAAAGTAGATGAAATTTGATAAAGCAATGCTCTGTCACTGATGCTACAGGAGCACCTCCTCAGAGGTCCTCACTTAATATTTAACCCTTAGGATTTTTTTCCCCAGAGATTTTCATTGTCTCTCTTCCTCTTGCCAAACTGTGACTATCATCTTTATGGGAATTAGTGAAAAGCATAAGGACTAGCTAAACCTATCCTTTAAGAAATGCAGACAACAGCTCCAATTCAAAATTCCCACCTTCCTGCATTCAGAGGTTAAACTGAGTTTTCCAAATCCCTAAAAGCCAAAGTCCTCTATACCACTAAAAGCCTTGGTAGTTACAGCACTCACTTAAGATACATACATAAGTTATTAAAAGATCCTCTCAATTTTCAGATGTCTTAATTGCCCATCCATCAATTAGTAACTGAAAAAAACTTTACACCCTAAGTTCATCCTTGTCAGAACTAAGGGCAGAGTAGGAAGGTGAGGAAGAAAATCAAGCTTGCTATTTGACAACATCTCAGAGGGGATAAGCATGAAGTGGGTGTGAAGTGACGTTAGATTTACATGGCAAGGTTTTGGTACCACGTGGGGGACTGTAGGTGTGGATTCTGTGAAAAGACATGAGCAGTGCCCCTACATGAGAGTGAGCCACATCCAGACAGCTCCAAAAGGGACCCACAGCCCCATCAGCAAAGCTTTTCTGTGGTAACATGTTTAAGAAATGGTAAAGGTACTGAACAGTCACAGAAAAGAATGAGAATATATGAAAGAAACAGCTCTGCAGACACTAAGGTCAGTGGAAGGAGGAGGTGCTCCAAGCACCCGAGCAGATTCCCCTGCAGCCTGTGGTGCAGACCATGGTCAGCCAGCCTGAGCCCAGAAGGGCCACAGTGGAGCAGAGATGTGCCTGCAGCCCACAGAGGACTCTGTATGCACACACTCCTCCTGAAACAAAATTCATCCCAGAGATTCAGAAGTGTGTATAAAGGAATCTTTTAATTATGTAAAATATTCCCAAGAACAGCTGAACTTAGTTGGTCTTTAAACTTTTATGCTTTCTCCTCAATAGCATATAGGAGAAAAATGTGCATCTATATAAAATCTAACCAGCCAGTAAATTGCAGCCACCAACTCTGTAACACAGAGCAACATGAATTATATGAAAGAAACAGCTCTGCAGACACTAAGGTCAGTGGAAGGAGGAGGTGCTCCAAGCACCCGAGCAGATTCCCCTGCAGCCTGTGGTGCAGACCATGGTCAGCCAGCCTGTCCCCCTTACAGCCCAGGAGGGCCACAGTGGAGCAGAGATGTGCCTGCAGCCCAGAGAGGACTCTGTATGCACACACTCCTCCTGTAACAAAATTCATCCCAGAGATTCAGATTTAAGAAGTGTGTATAAAGGAATCTTTTAATTATGTAAAATATTCCCAAGAACAGCTGAACTTAGTTGGTCTTTAAACTTTTATGCTTTCTCCTCAATAGCATATAGGAGAAAAATGTGCATCTATATAAAATCTAACCAGCCAGTAAATTGCAGCCACCAACTCTGTAACACAGAGCAACATGAAGGCCTGCAAAAAATTCCCATTAAAAAATTGCACATTAAATTTCTATACATCCTGTTTTCTACAGAGTACAGACAGAAGCCAAATAAACATGCCATTAGCAACAAAAATCAACTGTACACACATTTTCTCAAATCAGTGGTCTTATGGTATAATTAGGCTAAAATTTAAGAGGCAAAGGAATATATTTCCCTGAAGTGTTAAGCACTGATATTAGAGGTTACAGAAAAATACATTTTACCAGAAATACCTGTACAGAAGTTAGTTTACTTCTTTACTGGAGAGCAAAACAATTTAAAAATTGTTATTTTAAAGACCTTCTCTTACCAATTTTCCTTAGAAGAAATACAGCTAAAGCACAGAAAACTAAAGTTAGTATATTTGGGGTTACACACACTCAGTTTTCCCAGTTTAAAGATAGCCATGCAATTGAGTTACTCCAACCAATCAGCATCCTAAATAGTTCTGAAAAGCAAATACAGAAATTCAGCTATGACACAAAAACCAGTTATATTCTAAGGTTAGATTTCCAGGAACAGAAATTGCATCTACTAACAGCACGATCAAACTAAAAACAATTTTTGCAGGCATTTCTAAGCAGTCGTAAGAGACAGGAAACAAATACAAATATTCATTTAAGTAAATGAAATACTGATTTCAAGAATCTAGGTTATGTTGCTAATTTGCTTTAAATACAACAAGCAGCTTTTCTGTATTTGAAGTTTTACTTAAGGATGTACAATACTGTGCTCTACAAAAGTCTTAGTTATGATCACACTTTTAAGTTTCCACCAGAAACAAGTTTAAAATGTCATTAAGAACAAGAAACAAGGAACTTACCCACTGAATTTCTATGTCTTTTACTAGATTATCAAGTCTTTCAAAATCTTCTTTATTTATTACACTTCCTCCTGAACTTGTTCTCCAGCCATTTGTTTTCCAGTTGTCAACCCAGCTGGTAATACCTGTGCAAAGGGGGTATCACCATAAGAGTGCTGTTAAAGAAGCCAGTAAGGATCAAGAAGGAGCCAACAGCCTTTTAACCTCTGTACAAAGTCTCAGGCAAAAACACTGGAGATAAAAGATAAATCTACTTTGCTGCTCTGATGCTGTCTTTCAGGACTGTATTTTTTCATTATTACCTGAATTGCCCAACCTTTAAATTAAATATCTGTGTTTCCAAACAGATGTTTAATTTAAAGACTACAATCTTATATATGCACTGTACACAAAGTATCTCATGAACTTCAGTAAACTAAAGCTAGGGATTTGCTTGATGATACAGTAAGCAAAGCCTACTGCTCACCAGGGAATTTTCTATATTACTCCTCAAGTAAGGATTTTAATTTTTTTTTAGTATCAAATACAGCTAAAGCACAGAAAACTAAAGTTAGTATATTTGGGGTTACACACACTCAGTTTTCCCAGTTTAAAGATAGCCATGCAATTGAGTTACTCCAACCAATCAGCATCCTAAATAGTTCTGAAAAGCAAATACAGAAATTCAGCTATGACACAAAAACCAGTTATATTCTAAGGTTAGATTTCCAGGAACAGAAATTGCATCTACTAACAGCACGATCAAACTAAAAACAATTTTTGCAGGCATTTCTAAGCAGTCGTAAGAGACAGGAAACAAATACAAATATTCATTTAAGTAAATGAAATACTGATTTCAAGAATCTAGGTTATGTTGCTAATTTGCTTTAAATACAACAAGCAGCTTTTCTGTATTTGAAGTTTTACTTAAGGATGTACAATACTGTGCTCTACAAAAGTCTTAGTTATGATCACACTTTTAAGTTTCCACCAGAAACAAGTTTAAAATGTCATTAAGAACAAGAAACAAGGAACTTACCCACTGAATTTCTATGTCTTTTACTAGATTATCAAGTCTTTCAAAATCTTCTTTATTTATTACACTTCCTCCTGAACTTGTTCTCCAGCCATTTGTTTTCCAGTTGTCAACCCAGCTGGTAATACCTGTGCAAAGGGGGTATCACCATAAGAGTGCTGTTAAAGAAGCCAGTAAGGATCAAGAAGGAGCCAACAGCCTTTTAACCTCTGTACAAAGTCTCAGGCAAAAACACTGGAGATAAAAGATAAATCTACTTTGCTGCTCTGATGCTGTCTTTCAGGACTGTATTTTTGCATTATTACCTGAATTACCCAACCATTACATTAAATATCTGTGTTTCCAAACAAATACTTAAAGACTACAATCTTATACATGCACTGTACACAAAGTATCTCATGAACTTCAGTAAACTAAAGCTAGGGATTTGCTTGATGATACAGTAAGCAAAGCCTACTGCTCACCAGGGAATTTTCTATATTACTCCTCAAGTAAGGATTTTAATTTTTTTTTAGTATCTTTGCTGGCGTGGGCAATGTAAGACATCCTTACTGATTTCATGACCTGAACCAAATAGGAAATCTCTACTCTTGCACACAAAACCTCCTAGAAATTTGTACTTAACTACAAGCCTCCTTCTTTGGTATTTTTAAATAATAACTCCTAGACACAGCATTATTACCTGAATTACCCAACCATTACATTAAATATCTGTGTTTCCAAACAAATACTTAAAGACTACAATCTTATACATGCACTGTACACAAAGTATCTCATGAACTTCAGTAAACTAAAGCTAGGGATTTGCTTGATGATACAGTAAGCAAAGCCTACTGCTCACCAGGGAATTTTCTATATTACTCCTCAAGTAAGGATTTTAATTTTTTTTTAGTATCTTTGCTGGCGTGGGCAATGTAAGACATCCTTACTGATTTCATGACCTGAACCAAATAGGAAATCTCTACTCTTGCACACAAAACCTCCTAGAAATTTGTACTTAACTACAAGCCTCCTTCTTTGGTATTTTTAAATAATAACTCCTAGACACATCTACAAAATACCTTTGGTTAAACAAAAATGGCACCTGCATCTCAGTGACCCAAAATGCAAAATGAAACTGCAAAACCAAAGAGACTAAGCAAACCAAAGAGACTAACCAAAAAGCAAAACCAAAGAGACTAAGAGAAAAAGAGCAACATTTAATTTTCAACCATTATCTGCACTAAGTTTTTGTTTAATGTTATTTCAAAAAAACCTCACAAAATCAATCTCCAAAGTGATCGGGAAAGAAACAAACATGCACTGCCTTTGTAAAATTTAGTAAAAAACCCAAAAAAACCCTAAACAAACAAACAACAAAAAAAACCTTATGTAGCTCCAGATTATCACAGGAACAAAATCTGAAGAATGTTATTTCAAAAAAACTTCACAAAATCAAATCTCCAAAGTGATCTGGAAAGAAACAAACATGCATTGCCTTTGTAAAACTGAGTAAAAAAACCCAAAAAAACAAAAAACAAAACATTTTTAAATAATAACTCCTAGACACACCTACAAAATACCTTTGGTTAAACAAGAATGGCACCTGCACCTCAGTGACCCAAAATGCAAAATGAAACTGCAAAAAAACCAAAGAGACTAAGAAAAAAAGAGCAACATTTAATTTTCAACCATTATCTGCACTAAGTTTTTGTTTAATGTTATTTCAAAAAAACCTCACAAAATCAATCTCCAAAAAAAAGAGCAACATTTAATTTTCAACCATTATCTGCACTAAGTTTTTAATGTTATTTCAAAAAAACTTCACAAAATCAAATCTCCAAAGTGATCTGGAAAGAAACAAACATGCATTGCCTTTGTAAAACTGAGTAAAAAAACCCAAAAAAACAAAAAACAAAAAAAAACCCTAAACAAACAAACAAACAAAAACTTATGTAGTTCCAGATTATCACAGGAACAAAATCTGAAGATCTCGAGGAAAGAGAATGAAGATTTTTTCCAAAATTAAGTCTTATCAGCTGCTTCATATGGTATTTATAGAGAATAAAATTATGTTGTCCAGGTCTTTTAATACATACTCTGAGCACATATCTCTGACTAGTCTTCCAATGTAGCCTAAAAGCTTGGAAGCAAGAGAACTTGGATGTACTTCACAAGTGTGTGTGCTAAAGACAGCCTCTCCAACACATGCAAAACAACAAATACCCTACAGGTTACCACACCAACTTCCAAGTAATTTCCTGAGTACAGCCTTAACAGCCTATACATGAACGACATTGTTTCTAGATTTTTGTGTCACACTGAACACCTCATGACACAAATCCTGGTGTTACTTCTGTCAGCATTTACTGTAACAGACACTTTGACTCTATTTCATGCACTTAGCAGGCAATGTCTCATACTCTGAAGTTTTCCCCCAAGCAGTCATAAGTGGTAAGTTATGAACTGTCTTCCTTACATTCCTCTCTCCAGGATTCAGAATGTTCTGTGGGTCTTATGTAATGAAAAAGCATGCAGTGCCTTTAGGGATCAGGAAAATGAAACTCGTTAACTTACCATTAATAGTAAACTTGCTGTCAGTGTAGATTATTAACTTCTTGATGTTTTGACTCTTGGCTTGCTCTATTGCTTTGCAGGCTGCCTTAAGAACATTTCAAAACAACCAAAGGTCACAAAGGATCTTGACCACATGGAATTAAACAAAGTACCTGATACTAACATGGAACTATTACTGTAACCTTTCCACCAATGGTTATCAACATGTTTTAGTGCAGAGGATCCCAAAATTATGTATTGTAGATTCTTATGATTCAGGCAAAGAGGCAGGCACTTAAGTTTCAATAACAAACAAAACCTCATAACATCTTGATGTTCAACTCTGTGCTGAAGGAGTAGCTCTCTAACCTGTTTTCTAACTATAAAAACTTCCATCAACACCAAGGCATTTTCTCCAAAACTCTGGGGAGAAGAATTCATATCAGTTCCAACAGTCTAGACGCCTTAACAGGTTGGGGGGTTTTTTGGTGCTCTGAAACATTACAGGGAGAAGTGGCTGGGTGTGGATGTAGAACTGAAAACCTCTTCAGTGACAAATCTGACAACTGGCACACCAACACCATCTCTGAAATGAACTTGGTAGTTTTTAAGCAGATCAGCTGCCCATTTCAGTTCATCTCCAATCATGGAGTGTGAGATAGCAGCAATACCATAATTAAGAGGAGATGAAGAGAAGACTAAATCTGCTGTTGTCAACAGAAGACAGTCAGGAGCCTCAAATTATTTTTTATATTTATCTAAGGATTATGATACTCTGATCCTGCCATCATAAGAAGCTGACTCTCAACCAATACTCAGCAGTCCTCACTCTAAGGTCTGGAACACACACATTAAAAATGTAAGAGAATCTACACAGAGTTGAGAGTGAGACTCTTCTAACATAAGGCTGTTTAAATAGTTGTGCTTAGTGATATTTGGAAATTCTCAAGGTGAATTACTGAGTTCAAAGCCAATAAAGACCAATAAAACTTGAAGATAACTATTTGAAGTCATAACTCTGAATATTTTGCATATTTTTCTTAGAGCTCCATACTGGTTTCTGAAAACCAGAGTTGAAATAGGCCTGAAAGTGCAGCTGCAGTCTAACATGGAGAAGGATTTCAGGACATTTGCTACTTACATGGATTTCTGCTCTTTGATTAGTCTGCCGTCCAGGAAGTCTCTCACTGGTATTTCTGTGTCCAAAGAACAAACAGATTAGTTATTCCAAGTATCCAGAATGGTGTATATTGGCTACAATTAAAAAATAAAGACAGGAATATTATTTCCAGTTGATTTTTCCCAGAGAGGCTGCTTTCTCTGTTCCCCTCAATATCTCCTGACTCAGTTTCGTAACACTGTCATTATGAATCTCAACAACAGAGTTTCATATTTAAAAGGAGGCTGGTATTGTAAATCATATAAAAAACAAACAGAATACATTAATTAAAAAAAAATAATCCACTGAGTTACTTACAAAGGGTGGCCTGGTCCCCAGTAGACACCTATTCCAGCACGTGCCCTGTTACGTCCATTACCAGAGCAACAACCATCTGTATAAACAACTGCAAAGTCACCTGCAAAAAAATTACCAAAATCAGCACTTCTTCAAAAACACTACTTAAGATAGAAGAAATGTTTGCCAGTATATTAAGCCCCAAAACCCCTTCCACAAGAAACTGCAGAAGCCATGTGAATTAGCAGTGCAGAACACCTCAAGTCCCACTGCAGCTTGACAGCCTCACTGCTGTCAAACCAGTCAGCCTCAAAAACTTCTGCCCCAAGTCTCATACTTTTCACGACAGTTCATGTCTTCTTCAAAATGTCACAGCTACATCCAATCTGTAGCCCAGACACACATAAAACCACACCTATAACATTATGATTAAGCTATATATTCATACCAGTTAAAACCAATCAAAATTACACTGAAAGGCAATGTGGGCAAATAGATCATGGTTCATGTTTTCATTTCAAAAAGAAATAATGGGCCTAATGCTGCCATATACAAACCTCCCTAAAAGTTTTCTAATAGTTACACTTGTTTGTCACAAAGAATAAAGAAATTAAAATAAATAAAGGAATTATCAAAGACCTCACCCATATATGAAAACTTATCTTCACTGACTGTTGGTACTGAGCACACTGAGTGTAATTCATCATGTTTTACACGCTTTGCAATCTGCTCTTCGTTTGTAGACTGTTCATATGGCCTTTTACATGTACTGCAACACATGGTATTTAAGTCTGGTTCCTCCCTCTGGCTACCATTTTCTTGTGTTACAGCTGGAGAACTAAATGCCTCTAAAAAAAAAAAAGGAAGGATAAAAAACAACAGTTGTTAGCAACTATTAGCAATGTTAGCCCGTTATCTGACACACCCCACCCCCAACTATTATCGAAAAGAAATACACAGAACAAGAAACGTTCTCCAAACACCCACAGAAACACTTTCACTGCATAGGCACATGCATCGCCGTGTCCGGAGGCCATCGCCACGGCGCTGAGCCAGTGCGGAGGAATGAAGGGGCTGCTGCCCGTGCCGGGGAACGAACGGGGGCTGGTGCCCTTGTTCCGGAGCGGCCGCAGCGCGGGCTCAGCCGCCGCGCCGCCCCGAGCCCCGCCCGCCCTCCTTCCCTGCTCGCGGCCGGGACGCGCTACCTGCCGGCTCGGGCTGCGGCGGCCCCGGGAGGCCGGCGCGCACGAAGGCCCACGCGTCCTTCTCGGTGGCGAACTTCTTGAAGCTCGCGGAGGGGAACTTGTTCACCTGCTCCTGGCACTCCGCCCTGCAACAGAGCGGGCAGCGGTCAGGCCGGGCCGGGCGGGCTCCCCGCTCCGCCCCGGCCCTTGCTCACCAGGTGCGGTAGACGCCGGTCCGCCGGCCCTTGCGCACCGCGTAGAACATGGAGCCGCCCCTGGGGCCGAAGCAGGAGTGGCTGAGCACGGCCACGAGCCAGCGCAGCATCGCGCGGCCCCGCCGCCATCCGCGCCCCCGCCCCGCCCCGCCTGCGCGGCCGCCGCGCTCACGGAGCGCCGGGGCCTCCTACGGGCCGCCAGAGAGGCCAAGACACCAGAAAATTCCACAGCGCAGGGTTTTGTGTGGCTTGGCTTTTTTGTTTGGTTGGTTTTGTTCCTTTCCCCCGCCAATAATGGTATTTTTTAAACCTAAATCAGCTGTTGTTTGGGGGTGGGGCACGAGGCGTATGAGGTCACAGCGGCTTTGCACAAGCCCCCTCGTTCTGGAGGCCCCTCAGGTGCGCTGACATGTTTAGTACGTCCGGGAGGCTGGAGCTGAACAAGGTCCTTAAGCTGGTTCTCATCCCGCTGTCCAGGCTCCAGGTGCGTGTGTTCCAGCTGAGCCCTGCTCGAGGTGGCCTCTGGAGTGAGGAGAAACACCTTCACGGAATCGCAGGGTCCTTCGGGTTGGAGGGACCTCTGGACATCAATGCCATGGCAGGGTCAGCTGCTGCAGGTGACACAGGAGCATGACTGCTGGGTTTTGAATGTCTCTAGAGGGAAACTCCACGACCTCCCCAGGCAGTTGCCACTCTCAACGTAAAAAAGTTCTTCATCATGTTGAGGTGAAACTTCTCATGTTTTAGTTTATGGCCACTACTCCTCATCCTGTCACTGAACAGCCCCAAAAGAGTCTGGCACCATCCTCTTAGCACCTGGACAGTCAGGTACTGGGAGACCAGTGCTGGGGGCTGGGTGTGTGCCAAATTCAGTACCTCAGCTTCTGACAAGATCAGAGTAGCAAGGATGGGGGCACTGGTGTGGCCACCTCCAGAAACAGCCCAAGGTATCCAAGCTGTTGTACTTCCCTCACAGCCCTAGTACAGATCCCTGGGACAAAGCTGACCATATGGCGCCAGAGCTGCAGAGTTCTGTCCAGACCTACAAGGGTGGCCCAGCAAAATGCCAAGAATGTGAAACACTGGTGTTAATTTTGCCTTCTGTTGCAAAACCAATAAATGGGCTCAACATTACACATAATTACTATGTGTATTAAAGGGATAATATTTCTCTTAAAACAACCCAAATCTGAAGAGCTTGTGTATTTGGCAGCCCTTGGTGGAACTGAGAAACAACTTGGTCAAGGTTGTATGAAAATATAATTACTGCATTTTCCTTACACATTCATGAGACTTCATATAGCATCCTGTCACTGTTGGGACACTTGTTACACATCTGACTAATTTATTCTCTCCACTTCTTCACTGTGCCCATTCTGAGACAGAATGGCATAAGAACCTTCTTAATCACATTACTTTGTAGTGGCATGACTTCTTTTAAAGATCACAGGTCCACAGTGGTTCTTAAAAACCTGTCAGTTATTTGAGTACCAGGCATTACTGGGTACCAGGCACACTGACCATTCTACATCCTTCTCCTAACATAAATTCAATGTCCAAGAGGAAACATGTTTCTACACCTTTTTTCCTCATTGCTGTTATGCAGCATCCTGGTCTGTTCAGCACTCACAACATGGAGATGGGAAGCTGAGGATAGTCCCATCTTTATTCATTAATGGTCTGAACAGTCATGTTTTGATCCACCCACGTATCACCTGTTCCTTCTCCCTCTCATGAGTGGCTTCTCAATATAAACTACTGGACTGATGAGACGATTCCTTGTTATCTTTCTTTTTGGTACTCTTCAGTCAGGTCCTGATCACTGTTGTTTAGCCAAACCAAATCTCTATAAATACTAATCCTGGCCATTAGTATGAGCTGAGCAGTTTTTCCCATTCATTGAATGGAAAAAGGAAAGAAGAGTGACTTGGGAGAAAAACGGGCACTGAACAATCTGTTTTTCTGGGTATCATAAATTTAGTGAAAAGTCCACAAATGTTAGAAAACATGATGAGCTGCATTTTGCAGATGCTAAGGTTGTTTAGTCTGGGATGTTGGTGTCTTTGTCAGTTTTTTGTTTACAAGGGTTTATTACTCCACTATTGCATTTTGTAAAGTAACAGACTACACACAGCATTACATGGTAATAGCAAATGTGTTTGTACAAGGTTAAGCTGGCTGCTCTTGGGGTAATCTAGGGAATCTGAGCACAGAACCAGCTCTCTGAACCCCATTCCTGGGCCTACCATCCCTGGACAGTATGTGCCAAGAGTTGCACAGCTGCCTCCAAGTGGGACTTACCCCTTGAACAAGAAACCTAAATCTGTCAACAAGGAAGTGTCAAGATGGGGATTTTTTGTCGAGGCAAGGTTTTAACTCCAGACAGATACGGTCAGGCACTTTTATGTGAATCAACATGCAAGTCACTTTTTTTGAAATTAAAAAGTACAGCTTGCTCTATCAGTGTGCAAGTGTTATTTGTTAGATAATAATACAGTATATATAAAGAGTGCTTCCACTGATGACAGAGTACGTTGAGCCCAGAAAGCTCACCTTGAGTTTGTAGTACCTGAACACAGCTGAAGGCTCATGCATTATTTCTAGTCCAGTAAGAGTCTGGGAACTGTGATCACTGTGACACTGTCTTAGCGGAAGCGACTGAGAGGTCACGTTTACAGAGGCAAACAAAATCCAGAGCCAGGCTGCTCTGTGCTGGCGGGCGGTTGCCCACACTGCCGGGTTGCCCGCACGCTCCCTGGCATGGCTTTGCCCGTGGCTCCACACAACGCCCCGCCGCTGCTCCGCACAAGGGTGAACTCCGCACCGCTGAACTAACGTGGAATGGTGTAACGGAGAGGCACACAAAGCCCCGCCGCAGGCCGGGGGTGACCGCGCCGGCGCTGCTCCGCACAAGGGTGAACTCCGCACGGCTGAACTAATGTGGAATGGTGTAACGGAGAGGGCAGGCAAAAACACCATGCAGCGGTGGCTGCTGCCGTCCTGCACAGCCCTGGCGGCAGGCAGGGACAGGGGTAGAGGGAGAGGGAGCTCCGCGGCGCAGGCAAAGCCGCGCTTCCTCCGCGGGCTGCGCAACCCAGCGCGCCGCGCTGCCACGGCCGACATTGTGGCGCCTCTCCACAGGAGCGCCATTTCGGCACCAGAGGCCAGAGTTCTGCCTGGGAGAGGTGCGGCGGGGGCGTCCCACACAGAAGGCTCGGCCTAACCGCGAGGGACAGAGCCGAGCAGAGCAGCCTTTCCCTGTCTCTCCTCCGCTCCCTGCCGCAGGAAGCGCAAAGGGCTGAGGCGGGACGGGAGGGCACCTCCCATTTCCCACCGCCCGCCGCGCTCCACGGCACTGCGCATGAGCCAGCCCGCCCTCCCCGCGCCAGGACCCTCAATGTCCGCTCGGGCTTCGCTGCCCCGGATTGGCGGTGTGCTCGCAGCGCCCGCCCTGCCCTTCTTCCGGCTCTGGCTTCACTCGGGGTGGGCGGGGCCAGCGCCTTCCCGGGCCGCGATCTGTGCTGCTCTCGCGAGAGCTCCCCCTTTTCCCGGCCGGCGCGGAGCGAGGTGGGTGCCCGGGCCGGGGCCGCCGTTTTCCCGCTGGGGCCGCCGCGATACGGGACCGGGCGTGGAGCGGGGCCCCCCGCGGCTCCGCGGAGTGGGGATGCGCCCGATTACCGCCAGCCCGGGGCCCGATGGCCGCCGGGGCGCCCGGGGCCGGGGGTGGCCAGCCGGCGGGGTTTCCCTCCTCCCTCGGCCGGCGGCGCCCTGCGGGAGGAGGGGCCGGGGCCGGGAGCGGGGCCCGGGAGCGCCGCTCGCCCCTCGAGCCGCCCGTGGGGCTCTGCGTGGCGGAGCCGCTTCCCTGGGCTCCCGGGGCCTCGCAGCGGGCCCCGAGGGGGGCAGGCCCGCGCTCCCTGGGACGCTTTTCCTGTGGCCGGGTACTCACCCCTGGTGCGACGTGCTGGGGCTGGCCCGGCCCGTGGGGCGTCCTCTGGCTTGGTTTTGGAGCGTGTGGCTGCGCAGCCGGATTGGAGAGTCCTGGCTGTGTTTGGAAGAGGTGACACGTGCTTGGTGACAGCCGAAGTGTTCTTTTGCGTTGCAGATAGGCCATGTTCAGCTCTAGCGCCAAGATCGTGAAGCCTAATGGCGAAAAGCCAGATGAGTTCGAGTCTGGTATATCCCAGGTACGTGGCTTTTCCATGTTCTCTTCGGTCACTCCAAGTTATAGATACAGTTGTCCGGACCCTAAACTTTGAGGATGATCCTGTCAACGTCTTTTCTTTCCTGGTTTTACTTGGGAACTGAGTCAGCCTCTGTTTCCATTAGTTAAACTTGTTGGATGTTGGTGTGTCTTACAGGAAGTTAAATCTTTGATGTTGACTGTGGTTAAAAGTCTGTACCTGCTCTTTGCACTGTGGACACACTTTGGTCTCAAGTGTTCTCATGAACTGAAGTGTATGTAAAGGATTGTTCCACAACTTCACTTTTCTAGGCTCTGCTGGAGTTGGAAATGAACTCCGACTTAAAGGCTCAGCTGCGGGAGTTGAACATCACAGCAGCTAAGGTAGGCTGGACCTTCTCCACTAAGGGTTGGGTGGTGACTTGTTCTGTGTGTGTTTAGTTTTTGTGGATATTAATGTACTAGGTGAATGGTGTCTTCAGTCCTCATGGCCTGTGGTAGTTTTGTTATTTGCTGTTGTAGCTTAGCTTCTGGTATTTGCTGCTAGCATGTAGGATTCCGTAATAGTGTTTTTCTTAGGAACTAGTCTGAAAAGCCACTGTAAAAGCCTAAATGGCAATTTAATATGTTAAATAAGAGTGTTTGAAAACAACGATTCTACTTTATGTCTCTGCAGACTGGGTTTGGGGTGTGAAGCTGGCTTTTTGCATGTTGATACTGGCTGGAAATGTAGGTGTTACAGAAACTTAGAAACATAAACTGCGATACTCTTCATAAAAATCAAAATCGCTGTGATTCTCTTGTGTGCTCTTAGTAGGTGGTAGGTGAATTGAGGCAATAGACTGACTTGATAGTGTAGCTTAGTCTCCTTGTACATTTCCAGTTCTAGATCATACAGGCAGCTGAAGCATCAAGAAAGAAAAAGAAGACAATTAGTGGAAAAGGAGAAACGAAGTTAGTGTTAGAATTTGTCAGCCTGGGAG